TGTACCTGTATGTGTTTAACTGTAACTGTATGTGTTTAACTGTAACTGTATGTGTATGTTAACATTTTGGAATTCCTAGCCATGATGCCAAAATGTATTATGTCACAGTGCAAGCTGCGGCCACAAGTGTGGATGTTATTTGTGTTGATCAATTCCTGTAATTTTTTTTTTGTTTTTTTGCTATTTGCCTGTTTTGGCCCACCTCCTCTTTTCTCCTTCCCATGTAGACATCTATGCAAGAAATAGAGTTTAGTGCTTAGCTCCTCATTTGAATTCAAAATTAAATTAAATTAAAATTAAATTAAATCACATTTAGAAAGGGAGCTTGACACGCTCCCTATCAGCACTGGCATAACATTAAATGCTCTTGAACACAAATCACTTCTAGGAAACAGTGTAAAAATCATCCACCTTCATTTAATTTGTCATTAGGTGCATCTAATTAAGACCTATAGGAATGGGCTAGACTAGAGAGTACCTACTAGAAGTTTCTTATTTTCCTTCAGTCTATATTCATTTGTATCAATGCTATTCCTAATATACTTCAAAGCTCCTTTTCTAAAGCGAGACTTGACACTTTATTAGTGTCAAGACACAGAAACAAAAGTTTATAATTAAAAATATTAACCAGATCACAACTAGCAAGCTTTTAGTGAATAAATGATGCCCAGCAGAGCAGAAGAGAGACTGATTCTTCTGGACAAGTTAAGACAAGAAATATATAAGAGCTAGCAAGTTATGATCCTTGACCTACAACCATTCGTATTAACCTTACAATGGCACTGAAAAAAGTGACTTATGACCGTTTTTCACACTTACAACCATTGCAGCATCCCCATGCTCATGTGATCAATATCTGGTCTCTTGGCAACTGGTTCATACTTATGATGGTTGCCATGTCCCAGGTCATGTGATCATCTTTTGCGCCCTTCTGACAAGCAAAGTCAATGGGGAAGCCAAATTCACTGAGCCAGCATGTTACTAAACTAACTTAACAACTGCAGTGATTCACTTAATAGCTGTGGCAAGAAAGGTTGTAAAATGGGGCAAAACTCCCTTAACAATTGTGTCGCTTAGCAACAGAAATTTGGGGCTCAATTGAGGTCGTAAATCGAGGTCTACCTGTAATCTACACTCTCTTAAAATCTTCCAACTCGTGGGGTGGGCACGAAGAGTGAGCACGGGTGAGTCACGTCTCCAACACCTTGCTCTCCATCTCGGTGCTATATAGATCGATTCACGAGCAAGGATGGAAACAGCGGTAAGTAAGTAGTTCAGGGATGCACCGATCAGGGTAGCAAAAAAGCTCTGAGATTAAAACCCACCTAGTCCAAAGCAGTTCCCGGAGAGCGGCTGATCCCTTGCAAGAAGCCTTCAGAGATTACAACGGAGGCGGAGGCTGATCCCCTGGCTATCCGCCTTTGTCAAGAGTAGATGAACCGTCCCGATTGTCAACCCATTCAAGCCGGGCGGGTGAAAGAAAGCAGCCGCTGGTGGCAGCGTTGACTGCTTGGCGCCGCTGCCTCCTAGCTAACCCTTCGCCTGGTTCCGCGGTCAAGCTGCCGATATTAATAACGCTCCCCTCCCTTCTGTGTGGCAACGGGAGGAGGAGCGGCTGGGAAGAGCCTCTCTGCTGGCGAGGAAAAGATTAGCTGTACGAGCCATCGCGGCAGCCAGCGCCAAGAAGGAGATTTTCCACACACACCCCTCACCCGGGTTGAAGGAGATCCGCTTCTGTTTTCCAAAACCCGCCGATCCTCTCGGAGGACCGTGTCGTTTTAGACCACATGGTTTCGGGGGCGCCAGCCAGCGTGTTGCTACCCCGGGGTTGAGAGGGGGTGGGGGGAAGACATTATTGTACGCGGGACGATCAAAAACGGATGAGGAAAAAACGTAACGATAATAGCCACATGGCGTTCTCGACCAGGCTTGCACAACGTGGTTTGTGGCCCAAGCCACCCTCGCTGCGTTGGCAAATGGTAATCATACAGTACACGGGTGTTGATAAACCGCCGTAGCCACGATCCAGGCCAAAATTAAACAAGTAATTTTGCCGTTTTGCATAAAACCAAGCCGCTGTAATGCAAATATAAGCTGTGATAGAGAGGACCACTGCGGATGTATTTGTAACGGTGCTGAAGTGTTTTTCCACCTGTGCTGGGGATCCGCTGCCAAAAATCGTGGGCTTTTCCCACATTTGGTCTGGATGCAAATGGAGCATAAGCCAGTGAAGCGGGTAGTGTATGGAGAAGTATAAACTCTGAAAAGTTTTTCATACTTCAGGTTGGTATGCTTGCTTTCAGAGAGCATGTAGGCCATGAACATAAATATCCAAGGCAACCAGCATGGTCCATTACAACCTTATTATTAGTCACAAAACACTTCTGGCTGCAGTGGGCAAAACTTGAGAACTGTAAATATATCAAAATATTCTTCTGACTTCTTATAATCCTGATCCTGCTGCCAAGGCAAAGCCCTGGTAGGACAGATACATCACCTGATCTCAAATTATCCTCCCCAAATTAAAGCATCCCTTGCTACAGGTGCCATGGGTGTACTAGAGTCCTGGTCTAATTGTTTCTTGAAATCCTGAATTTGTATTATATGGCTATTCATTTAGCTTAAACAAATCAGGAATCCATCCCCAGAGCAAACTGTTTTATGCTTTGTTAAACTGCTCTTAGATCTATACACTTTGTCAGTCTTACCTAAAAAGTCTGTCCTTTATGTCCCTAACATAAAGTCATCATCTTTTCTCCTAATTCTGCTAGAGAATGTGATTATTTTGTTCTCCTTGTTAATTTTATTTGATGTTGAAATTCCTGGGTGCCTCTTGTCTTAAAATTCACCTTGGTATCCTCAAAGTGCTCTTATTCTGTATACTCTTGGCTCCTTTTGTGTTATGATTATAGTTAAAATAGTCCATGGCTAATATGTCTCTAATGATTTGCCTTTGAAAACCTTGTGCTGATAAAATAAATCTTTATTTTAAATTAATTTATCCACTTCTAAAAGGAAATAGTGGTGTCCCAGAACTGAGCACAATCAGCAGACGGCAGATATGGATACTGTAGGAAAGCCAAGTGAAAGTTTATCTCATATACTGATTTTTTTTTAAATGAACTACAATTATCGTAAAACATTCCTGTGTATCTGTGTGCCTATTGTAAGCAGAGAGAAAGGCATTATGGTTGCTTGCCATTTAAAAATTAAAAGTAAAAATCTAGGTGAGTATTCTGGCACTGACGATTGGCAACTGAAAGAATCTTGGACTTGAAAGAAGCAAAGCAAAAAGGTTGATAAATATTTTTCACATTTCATAGAACTCTTGCGGCTGGCAGCATCTGAATGATCTTGTCTGATCTTAGAAACAAAATACCACCTAAGGAATACAGTGGCTGTAGTCTGGACTTGGAAATAAAAAGAAAAATTGATCCTAGATGAGGACAATGGCAATTTATCTGAAAAACAGTATAGAAATGACCAAGTCATCAGAAATCAAATGTACCAAGGGAAACTACCTTATTTTCATTATGAAGTAGTACATATTTTATTTTATTCTATTTATTATTTATTATCTTTATTACCTTGATAAAATTCAAGGTGGCTAATATGCCTAATTCTCTTCCTATTGTCTCCCACAACAACAACCCTGTTAGGTCAGCTGGGCTGAGAGAATAACTGGCTCGAAGTCACCCAGCAATCTTTCATGCCTAAAGTGTAATGAGAACTTTTCCTGGTTTCTAGCCTGGTGCCTTAAGCATTAGATCAGACTGGCTTTCTACACCAAACTGCCAGTCCAACAATAGAAGAACTGGCTCAAATGAAGTTAACAAATGAGCAATAAATCTATTGTGTGAACAGTCTTTTAGAAACTGATAGATTATCCTCCATTGAATACTTAATAAAGTGTATGAATTTTTATTATGGTAATTTGATATAATTGTTACATGTAGTGTGTTCTTTTTATCTTCTGGGATACTGAGGACACTAATTTTCAGGTAGAATGTCTGCAGAAGCTGGTCATATGCTCCATCCACCATCAATGATGCATTCATTGCCAGTCATGTAGGCTGACTGAAATTTAGGACAAAAAAAAAAATACGTTAGAAAATAAAAGCAAACCTGGCATTCAAATGATGAATAATAAGCATAGAAATAAATGTTGAATATTAAAATACTTCAGAAATGAATTTGATTTCTAATAGAAGGAAACACTAATAAGATTTATCCACACAGTGATAATGTGGCTTAATTGGTTTTGAACCTAGTAATGAACTACAGTGGCTTGAGTCCAAATATTGCAAATTTCCCTGCACTCATTTTTCTTCATGTTTGTCTGGATCTTTAATCAAACTATGTATTTAATAGAAATCTACAGGTGAAACTCAAAAAATTAGAATATTGTGCAAAAGTTCATTTATTTCAGTAATGCAACTTAAAAGGTGAAACTAACATATGAGATAGACTCATTACATGCAAAGCAAGATAGTTCAAGCTGTGATTTGTCATAATTGTGATGATTATGGCTTACAGCTCATGAAAACCCCAAATCCACAATCTCAGAAAATTAGAATATTGCATGCAATCAATAAAACAAGGATTGTACATAGAACAATATTGGACCTCTGAAAAGTATAAGCATGCATATGTACTCAGTACTTGGTTTGGGCCCCTTTTGCAGCAATTACTGCCTCAATGTGGCATGGCATGGAAGCTATCAGCCTGTGGCACTGCTGAGGTGTTATGGAAGACCAGGATGCTTCAATAGTGGCCTTCAGCTCTTCTGCATTGTTCGGTCTCATGTCTCTCATCTTTCTCTTGGCAATGCCCCATAGATTCTCTATGGGGTTCAGGTCAGACAAGTTTGCTGGCCAATCAAGCACAGTAATCCCACAGTCATTGAACCAGTTTTTGGTGCTTTTGGCAGTGTGGGCAGGTGCCAAGTCCTGCTGGAAAATGAAGTCAGCATCCCCATAAAGCTCGTCTGCGGAAGGAAGCATGAAGTGCTCCAAAATCTCCTGGTAGACGGCTGCGTTGACCCTGGACTTAATGAAGCACAGTGGACCAACACCAGCAGATGACATGGCTCCCCAAATCAACACAGACTGTGGAAACTTCAAGCATCTTGCAGTGTGTGCCTCTCCATTCTTCCTCCAGATTGGGTCCTTCCAAATGAGATGCAAAAGTTGCTCTCATCAGAAAAGAGGACTTTGGACCACTGAGCAACAGACCAGTTCTGTTTTTCTTTAGCCCAGGTAAGACGTTTCTGACGTTGTTTGTTGTTCAGGAGCGGCTTGACAAGAGGAATACGACATTTGAAGCCCATGTCCAGGATCTGTCTGTGTGTGGTGATTCTTGATGCACTGACTCCAGCCTCAGTCCACTCCTTGTGAAAGTCCCGAACACTTTTGAATGGCCTTTTCCTGACAATCCTCTCCAGGCTACGGTCATCCCTGCTGCTTGTGCACCTTTTTCTTCCACACTTTCTCCTTCCACATAACTTTCTATTAATGTGCTTTGATACAGCACTTTGGGAACATCCAACTTCATTTGCAATTACCTTTTGAGGCTTTCCCTCCTTATGGAGGGTATCAATTAAGGCTTTCTGCACAACTGTCAGGTCAGCAGTCTTTCCCATGATTGTGATTCCAACTGAACCAGACTGAGAGACCCTTTAAAAGCTCAGGAACCCTTTGCAGGTGTTATGGGTTAAAATTAGCTGATTAGAGTGGGACACTTTGAGCCTAGAATATTGAACCTTTTCACAATATTCTAATTTTCTGAGATTGTTGATTTGAGGTTTTCATGAGCTGTAAACCATAATCATCACAATTATGACAAATCACAGCTTGAACTATCTTGCTTTGCATGTAATGAATCTATCTCATATATTAGGTTCACCTTTTAAGTTGCATTACTGAAATAAATGAACTTTTGAACAATATTCTAATTTTTCAAGTTTCACCTCTATAACCGTGATTTAAATCTCCGAAAGAAATTAAGATAAGCTTTGACCAACTTGTACTATAATTTTGATTTTCACCTTGCTTCTGCAAATACTTATTTTAAATAAAAGAGGAAGTTTATTTTAACTGAGGCTCAGTGTTCTGTTCTTCATCATAAAGTCATCTGTGGGAAAAAGTTCCTAGGGATCCATTTAGAAATATAAAAGGAAGTGAAATAAATTATGTCGATAATGGATAACATTTTTTAATCTCTATTTCTCTATTTATACAGTTTTTTCTTATAAAACCAGACTGGCTTGGAAAATAAACTGAGGTTTGATTCAGTGCCTGACATAAACTTGGTGTAGTTGTTAAGGTGTTGGCCTTGAAACCAGGAGATTGGGAGTTCTAGTCCTGCCTTAGGCATGAAAACTGGTTGGGTGATTTTTGGACCAACTCATCTCAGTTTTTTTGTTACAGGGCAAATGAAAGGAGAAAGAAGTATTGGTATGTTCACTGCCTTGTGCTGTATATGAAAAAAAAGAGAGGATGGGATAAAACTAACAAAAGTGGGGGGGGGTTGGTGTGTGTGTGGGGTAGCTTCAAATCAGCCTCAAACTATCTGGACCAGTTCCTGCAGTTTTCTTGGCAATATTTTTAGAAGTGGTTTGCCATTGCCTGAATGTTTGGGCTGAGAGAGAGTGACTGGTTTATGATAACCCATTGGCTTTGTATTTAAGGCAGGACTAGAACTCATGATCTCCTAGTTTTTAACCTAATGCCTTAACCACACAACCAAACTGCCTCTTTATATTTAGTTTATTTATTTATCAAATTTTTAAACTATCTCCCTCACAGAGGGCTCTGATGTATAATAAAATAGTGAAATATAAAAACAATACATAAAAAAAAATAAAAATTTAAAGGAAGCAAAGATACTTAAAACGTATATTAAAAATTAACTGAAAAGCAATGGGAGGCCTTTCAAGCCCCATGGTTATGTTCTCCTCTGGGCTCCCCATGCAAGGCCTCAGAGCCATGTTTTTACAAGATCAGCAATGTGGGGGCCTGTTTCATGTCCGGGGGAGGGAGAATGTTCCACAGGGCAAGGCAATGGCAGAGGAGGTTTTGTCTTCCTGAACCCCCCAAATTGGAACCATTTGACTAACAGGGTCTGCAACATTCCTGTCTGACAAGTGTGGGATGGGTAGATGTAATGGGACAAAAATGATCCCATAGGTAGCTTGGCTATGCCATGTGGGTCATAACCAACACCTTGAATTGGATCTCAAAGCAAATTGGCACTCAATGCAGTTTGGGGAGAAAAAAATGTCACATACATCCTTCTTTGGGTGTCCACAATGGCCTACTGGCCACATTCTACACCAGCAGCAGAGGTGGTATTCAGCAGGTTCTGACCAGTTCTGGAGAACCAGTAGCGGAAATTTTGAGTAGTTCAGAGAGCTGGCAAATACCACCTCTGACTGCCCCTGCCCCCATCTATTCTCGGCCCCCCGAGTCCCAGCTGTTGGGCTGGGTCTTCTTTTGTTGCCCTGCACAGGAGAACAGAGCAGGAAAGCAGGCTAGTGGGGTGAGGAGGGAATGGGATTTTGCAGTAACCTTCCCCTGCCATGCCCACCAAGCCATGCCCACAGAACCGGTAGTAGAACATTTTGAATCCCACTGCTGACCAGTAGAAGTACGGTATTGGCACAATTTACCAAGATGGTGATAAAAACTGCTGGGCTAGTCATTCCAGAAACTAGCCAGAAGCATAAAACATAGAAAACAAATATGCCCAGTTGGGTTACATATTTTCTATATCCTCATGCAGAACACTAAGGATAATAAGAGTTTGAAAACCTCCCCCAAAGGCATTACGATCCCGAGGACTGTTGAGGGTTTTTAACTGCATTTGTTTACATATTTAACGATCAACTTCTTAAATTGCTTCTGGCAATTTTTGTCGAACTGGACAAATGTTCACAAATAAATGTACAGAAATAGAGTTTATGCCAATATGGCAGACTCCACACATCCTCCCAATCAGGGGAATCATTCAGTTTAAAACACAAAGTAAAAAGCCACAGAAAAGAGAGCATCAAAGGATTCACTGCAGCAATTAATTTGCTGATTCCACCTTCTTACCGAGATTGGTTTTGGCTTGTCTGAACAATGAAGCATCACTGGCAGAGTGTCATATGCCAGCAGCAATATGGGAGGTGCACTTAAAAAGGTAACAGAGCCCCCCACCCAGCTTTGAGCCATTATCACTATGGCCATTGGTTATGGCTTCAAGATATCTAAACTTTCAAGGTAGCAGGGTAGTTGAAAACTGGTAAAACCCCTAGAGCTCTCTCCATTTCCCATTGGGTGGGCCGAATACATCTTGACTGATGGGGTCCAATCTTGATATCTACTGTCAGATCAACTAGAATTCGAAATGACTGGGACCAGCAATATTTACTGCAATTTTTAAGAAAATTAACAGAGACCACCCAAGCAGTAAAATCTCTGGCAAACATCTGCACCTGGAGCTGTTACACGGGTGAGGCTCAAAGCGCCTCCTGCCAGAGGAACAAGCTGGTTTTAGAGCAGATAAAACTGTTGAATTGATCAGCGCCTCATATTTAAAGCTGTTTAGCATTTTTGAATTCACGGGCGTAAAGTTAGTTTGAAGCACTGACAGCCACATAGAATGTAGCGTATGATAAAGGCGATGCTAACCAGATTTTGAAGAAAGCCGCTATCTACAGGCCACAAAGGGCAAGCCCTGATTAAAATAGGGCAGAGTTGGGGGGGTAGACAGGGATAGAACTGCATACAAGGATCTGAGAAGACCCCTCTGCAGGGAAAATCATAGCCGTTGCTTTAGGAAAGTAGGAAACTGTGCTGTGGATGTGCATTGAAACTTCAAGCAAACAGAAAAACATTGGGAAGCTTCAAGCAGAGACCTACAGACCATAGCTAGTTGTCATTTATTCATTCAGTCTAGAAGCCAATGGCAGTAGGTGGAATTAGGAGCAGAGGAGGAAAACTTTCTCTCTTTCATTGTGATGGACTGGGTAGGAAAGTGTTAAAAATATTTGAAGGAAAATACTACTTGGTTTCACTGGGAAAATAGTTTCATGTTTAAGGAAATCTATTTGCCAGTTGAACCTGACTTATCACCTTATATAATTAAACACCACGTAATTTTTGTTATAAAGTTGTTTTTAATGATGTTGATCCTACACATAAATCCCTAAATTTATGTAATGCCACCTTGGTAGATTATGGGATGTAGCCATATAATGCAAAATTTTACAGATGAATTATTTTGCATTTCAGATAGATTTGGATCAGGGGTGTCAAACTGGATTTCTTTGAGAGCCAGATCTGAATTGTAGTTCTCTGTGGGCCGTTGGGGGGCAGGGGGGTGAGATGGGATGGACACCTCCTGCAGCACACTGCTGGCTGAAAACAGGCTGTGGGAGGGCTCACACGGCCTCCCACAGCGGCCTGTTTTTGGCCTCCACAGCCTCCTGCACAACTCTGTCAGCCGAAAACAGGCCCTGAGAGGCTCCTATGAGCCCCTCCCCCGATGGCCCATTTTGGCTGGCAGAGACACCATGGCTGGTCCTTTGATATTTCCAGGCCGGCCCCATGGGCCAGATCTAAAAACCCATGGGCCTTGAGTTTGACACCCCCGATTTAGATTGTTAACATACTTTTCCCCAATTGAAATACACGGTGCAGTTGGTGCCAGAATTAAAACTACTATTTGACTGAAGAACACATCCCTTTTCTTTAATAACCCATTTTGCATGGTATTTATTGTGACAATAAATATGTGCATGACATCTTTCCAGTGGCACATTTACCACACATAGCTTGATTTAGTCTGAAGTTCACTATAACCATAATTGTCAGGTTTCCAAGAGGTGGGGCTGCAGCTTGGGCTGGCCTCATTTGAGTTCGTTCTCGAACCCATCCTTTGCCTGTATAAAACACCCATTCCAGAGGGAGTTGGTCAATTGGAGGTAAACGATGTGGGGGGAGGGAGGGCTCGTTCCTCGATGGATTCTTTGTGGACTCCCCCTTCTACTCACTCCTCTCTGTTCCACTCTCGGGGGTGAACGGTATAATGGTGGAAGATCTCCCGCAGCCCTAGATCGCCCTCTTCTGGGAGAAGAATATTCTCCCAACAACTGGGTTAAACTGAAAGTTGACGGGCTGGAAGCTGGTGTTTCATGATCTCTCCAGGTTGCCTCCTTTGCTGGCCTCTGCCTTCACGTCCAATAATGAGCTGGTCAGGTAGATCCTCAAAGGTTTGGCTGCACACTGCTGTTTGATACTGCCATTCAGCCGGCTCATTGTGGTCTCCCATAAGTCCTACAGGTCCTGTTGCTGCTCTCCACTCTAAGATCATGGCTCGAGACTCCCTGGCTGCAGTTAATGGCCAATTGAGCAGGTCAGGAAGGGTTGCTTGGCCAAGCAGGTCTCTTTCCATCCGTTGGATACTTGTGCTTCCACACCATTCACTCTGGGATTTCGGGCGGGCCCCTAGCTGGCACATAATATCCTCCACGACTGCTGTTACTCTGATGATCTCCTGGGGAATTAGTTGGGAGGCCTGCTGCTCAACCGGCAACTTAACACAAGCCCCCTCCCCCCACAGAGTCTGCACTCACGTTCCAGTGCCCCTGAATCCCATCCTTCTGCCATCTTCCCTGAGTCTTTACTGTTACCCAAAGCTCCAGGTAAACAGCCAGGGCTCAGGACCCTGAATAACAACTCCTCTCCAGGATTATGGTTTTTATGAGATCTGGAATAATGTCAGGTTTCCAAGTGATGAAATCCATTTAAAAAGAAGAGAACAAAATCCACCTTCCAAGACAATTTCTTTTATTTAGGAAAGCATCAAATTGGCAAACTCTGTGGTAATTCCGGATCTGACACAACCCGGAATTACCTCGCAATATTAGAAGTTAGAAACAAGCCCCAAAAGTCACATTCTCCAATAGAAATAATTCAACATTGCTTGATGTCATAAATCTCCACCTCAAGGGGCCCAAGCAAGGACAGCTCATTTTCCCACGGGAAGAAGAATCACCTAGCCAAAACAACTCTGTCTCCACTCCTCCCCCCTTAGGAATGTGGCAAGCCCGAAACCCTTCCCCCCATGACTGCCACAGAGAAAGTAAGAAAAAGAATATATACTAAGCCTAACTAAAATGGCTACACTTATGTCAATTTTGGGCTTGAGAATATCCCTTACGGCACATTATTTTTCTATTAATATAATTCTTGCACATATCTTCTTTAATCTTCTAAAGAAATATGAAACTGTTTTCAGATTTTTGGGGGTGTGATTATCAGGCACGCAGCCTAATGCATTTCTTAAATGGGACTGTAATAATACAATAATACAGAAGGACATTGGTGAGGATCAAGATTACTGTGCTAATCATTATGCTATTAGGGGCCTCAGGCTGAACTGGTGACTTTGTGCTACTATTAAAATTTTACTGCTATTAAAACTGCTAATAGCACGAACCATCTTCTGAATTTTAAATTTAGCATTAAATTAGGAGTGGGATACTTGACGACTGAATTAAAGTACAGTTCCCAGACCTCTATAGGTTATGGTAAAAAAAAAATCAACATAAAAAGCAGATGGAACTCCCCATTATAGTGGTTCCCCAATACCCTCACAACTGGCCATATAATCTGAGACTGCCAGAAGCCATAACTCAGCAATGTCTGGAAGTAGATGGCTTCAGATTCCCTATTCTTGACCTACAAAATCAGGGCAATAAGAGTAAGTATTTAAGAAAGAAACTCTAATATAAATTGGATCTTAACAAATGGTACAATGATAATTCGGGATTCAGATTCCATTGCACATATCTTCAGTTATCTATACAGGTAGATCGCATGACTGTAATTAAGCCTGGAATTATGATGATAAATCAATGAATCATTAAGTAAGTCGCCCTGTGACCATTTCCAGTTTTATTATCTTTTTAATGGTAGTCTTTAAGTGAACATGGTGGTTGTTAAGCAAATACATTTTATCCAATGACCGTTGTGTTTTTTTTTGCCAGAAACCAGCAAAAAAAAAGTAAAAAATCATGGTCATGTACCGATGGGACTCTGTGAACAGCCATAAAGGTGGGCTGGTTGCCAAGTACCCAAAATGTCACATGTCTCCTGGGGGCAGCTCTCAGAAGTTCAAAATTGGGTCATAGGTATCTTTTGGGGCCGTCTGTTATAAAGAAAGACCCCCAAACGTGATTAAGCAACCTGTCATTTACCAATAGTACTTAGACTTATATATCTCTTCATAGTGCTTTACAGCAATCTCTTAAAACAACAGGAAGGTTCTATTTCAACCAACATATGGCTGATCCAAGAAACTTACTTCATCAGAAGCCAGATATACAAAGAGGTGGGCAATTTCCCCAGCGGTAGCCATTCTGCCCATCTTCTGTCTGGCGAGAAAATCTTTTAGTGCCTAAGGGGGGAAATGACATTAGCAGTAAATATTCAGCCCCAAAATAAGGTTGTTTCTGTTTTTTCATCATCAGCATTCTAACATTCCCTACAAAATCTGTCAAAATGTGTCAAAATCTTATGTTGTTTCCCAGATATTATTCCAAAAGAATAGGATACCTATAAAAGCTAGAATACAAATTAACGAAGTTTAATTATGGTAAAATATTGCATGGAACATTTGATATGTTTGTTCTTTGGTTAAAAGATTAAACAATATCAACTCTGAAATAATTTGCTAACTGAAATAGCATAGAAAACAACAGTTGCATCCTTCAAAATTCAAGATATATTTATTTTAAACACTTTCCAGCTGTCTTTCTGAAACATCTGCTCAAGCATATAATACTATACATCAATACTGCACAGATAAGTACTCTAAGGTCTAAAAAGTATGAATATACAATATTATCACCAGGCACAGCAGCAAATAATTAACATAACCAATGAAACCCACATAAATTAAAAATTTATTTAAATGGAACAGGTCTCTAGTGGCCGTTCTGAATATCCAAAAAGACTAAATGGGCCAATCATACATCCTTTGAGATTTTAAAAAGTTATCTAAGCTTATTTTGGCACTTGAGGGAAGATGTGCCATTAGCACAGTTCCTTGAGAAAACTGTAGTAATGATTTGCTGAACTTTTCATGATACCTCATAGTGAACCTACTGAAGCAGCCACTTCATTCTAATGGTGCAGTTAGTCTAGTAGGACTCCATAAAGTCCTACAACAGAAGAAGACATCTCTACTGCCACCATATTTTAGGAATTTGATCTCGGTTGAAGACAGTACTATTGGAAACATAATTCTTTAATGATATGGGATGGCAGCTCAAGCAAATCAACCATGTTTTCCTTTATAACAGGAAGTACTGTTATGTTCCCACCAAAATGGTACCTATTTCCTTGCATTTGTATGCTTTTGAGCTCCTAGGTTGGTAAGAGCCTTGGCAAGGATTGGAAGTCACCCCTGTTGCGTGGAACTTGGATCTTGAGCCTGGGCTACTGGCTTTCCAGCCAACAAGCCCAGCATTTTAATCATTGAGCCACTGTGTCACCGAACATCACCCAACAGTGCTCTGTGATGCTATGCTGGCCACATGACTGTGGAAATGTCTTTGGACAGCACAGGCTCAATGACCTTGAAATGGAGATGTGCATTACCTCTTTTAGTCGGCAATGATTAGCAGAGTAAAATCCGCAAGGACCCCCTTTACCTTTTTTAATTCCATGAAAGACAGTACATACATTCCCCTTTTCTGTGGTCTTCCTGACCTCCTTCTCTTTGGCCACTCTGGCTGCTTGTCAATTCATCAACAAAAACCACCTATATATTTGGCTTATTAGATAAATCTAGAAGAAAATACCAAGAAAAGTCTAAACTAGATTTCTGTCTGAAGTTTCATTTCTTTATTATGTTTTGTATGCTAGCAAATGTGTGTGGGCTCATGGTGACTTATAATCAGGCATATAATTAAGGAAAACATTTTAATTGACCTATTTATCTTTCTAATTGCACTTTGTTTGCCTTTTCAAATGTCCCACTGGTAGTGGGGTAACATGGCGTCTTTGCATAGGAACTTCCCAGCAAACATTTCTGCAAGTATTTGGGAAACAGGTCTTATAGAACTAGCTGCTATTTTTGCGTTCCTTCAATGTGCACTTGTGCATTATAATAAAAGGCATTATGTACCTGTTCTGGATCAGGTCTTGCTTGGATTCTTTCTCTCAGAGAAGGAGTGTCAACAGTGCCTGTAAAACATACGCAAACCATAATTAAAAATAACACCATGCATTTCATGAACAGAGATGGGTCATTTTCTAATTAGACTCTTGACTGAGTAAAAAAAAACCTACTTAGTACTATAAATCAAATGTAGCTGATACATTGTAAGCACTATCTCTTAGATAGTGAAGTTCTTCAACTTTGAGCTACAGTTTGAATTCTTTTGCACAATGCTGAAGGACAAAAAACCCATAACAGAGATCGCAGAATATTACATACCAGGACAAACACAGTTGCATCTGATTCCTTTTTCAATGAAGTCAGCAGCTACAGACTTGGTAAGGCCAACAACTGCTGCTTTTGAAGTACCATAGACACATCTGTTGGGAACCCCTGAGGGAGAAAGGTTTAGCAATCAGGTACCTAACTAAAGCATATTAAATAATGAAGAGAGATTATGTTCCATTCCGTATTGACCTCCATCTCTATAATGACTTTTTTGAAAAGCCTTGAACTACTCCAGACTTCTGTTTAATTATTTTTTATAAGAAGTATTTTGTAGATTGGGGTGTCAAACCTGCTCACATCGTGGCCCATCTTGTGATGTATCGCGATATTTTTTGCCTTTGCAGAGACGGGATGGGCGTGGCCTGCACAGGCTGTATCCTGCCTGCAGGCTGCCAGTTTGACAGGCCTGTTGTAGATGGACCAATTCTATGCTTTATACAAATTTCTGAATTTTTAATTGTATGTACATATTCCTATTTGTTTTTCATTTTTCATTTTTTAGGGAAAGGAAGCATTCAGTACATAAACAAGTGCTAGCTACAGTCTTTATTGTCCATCTTTTTAAGCACATATATCCACTCCCTTTCATGCTAGCTAGAACCAGTTGTTATCAGCTACTAACCTTTGATACTGGATACCACAGAAGACATGTTGATAATGTTACCGGATTTCTGCTCAAGCATCTGTTTAAAAAATGAAATGTTAAATACTGTGATGTCTTAAGTATCTCATTTAAAAAATGATTTACAAATAGAGATGTAAAAGTACTGTGTAATCTGAAGAATGAATTGTTTTCATATATAAGAATCAGAGAAGGCACAACAAATATTTGACCCAAATGCAAGCTTTTCCCAGCTTGGTGTACCTGGTAATTTTGAAGTACAAATAATTCTCAGGCAACATTTTGGTTGAGAATTATCAGGTCTGTAGCTGAAAACATGAGATTCCAGGTACAGAATGACTAACCTGTATGTTTTTGGCCTATTCCATAAGCTTTTGTGCCAACAATCACATACTTTTTGATCTCAGCTTCTACTAGCTTCAGCCACCATGGCCAATTGCAACACATTAGGAAAGTTGTAGAATGAAAATATGAAAGGTATCAACTACTGCTGCATTACAGGATTATTATAAGGACTCCAGATATTGTTCCAAAGTACCAAGGTTGCCTACGTCTATAACAGATAACACATATTAGGTGGCTTGAGAACTTTTCAACTTCCAAATTTCTTTTCATCTTACTCAGTTGCTCTACAGATGTGAGAAGTCTCAATCCTACCTTAGGCAAGAATGTTTTGATCATGAGATACATGCTACGAACATTGACTTCCATTGTGTAGGCCCAGTCTTCTTCCTCACAATCCAAAATAGTCCCATGATGAACAAAACTATAGCAGAAGACACAACTGTTTTATTTTATTTTCTGAAGCAAATAAATTGTCAAGGTGACAGGACAAAACCATAAATTAAAGAGTCAGGACAAGTCCTAGTATGCTGAAATCATGACTGTTGTAACAGAATTACAAAGATGATGAATTTGCACAACATGACCCACAAAATGGACAATCACATTTTCTGAGAAGTGGATCTTATGTATTGGCAAACACACTGGCACAAAATTGGAACCGCAGAGGTGTCGTGGTCTCTAATATACATATAATTAATTACAGGAAGCTTTGGGATGGCAATAAGGTAGTCAGGAAGGGTTTGATATACTCTTTTCCTGTGTTATTAATCAAACTGACACTTGTTCTTATTTTTATACAGGTTGTTCTGAGTTTTGGAGTGATACCTCAATTCAGTGAGGTTTTTGAATGAAGTACCCTTGAAAGTGAATCAATATCCAGGAATGAAACATTTCATTAGACTTCCATGCCATCTTGATCAAAGAATCTAATATATGCACGGGTGTAAAAGACCCATGAAGCAAACTGACCTACTTCAATGTGGCAGCTCAAAGCAGATAAACTTCTCCAAATCGAAGAGTTGCTTCAAATCAGATGAATTTAATAACCCAAAATGAAGCAACATCTGGAGTGGGATTGCAGTCAGTCAGTCAGCACAATGTGTTCAGTGTTATGAAAGGCAAGGCACCTCTATAGGGGACTCTCAGAGCAATCAAGTAAATAAAGAAATGTCTCACAGTTCATGGTGTGGATAGATCCAATCTTTTACACTAGCAGAAACAAATGTAGAATATTTTATATATTTTAATATTATAGTATTTATAATATTAATAGGTTTGTGCCCATCTAATAGGCAGAATCAAGAAGATTATAATAGAAGGAATCAACTTGTTGTTACTATTAAACCTTGCATTGCCAAACCATCTTTGATTGAGATTATTAATAACCTAAGTGGAAACAAAAAAACCAGATTTCAGAAAGGAGAAAGATTAGAAAAACAGTTTAAAATCTGGCAACATTTTACCCTGCAATATTGCACAAAACGTCGATTCTCTTCACCTCCTTGGCCAATTTTTCAATTTGTTCTTTCTTGGTGACATCGAGCACCCGGATCTGAATGCCTGTTAAAAGAGATCAACATATGCTGTGATGAGTGTGTGTTATCTTCTCAAAATTAAAAAAAGCAGCAGTATTACAAAGGTGAAAATAGGGAACTGTACAAGTAAAGAGACTATAGAGTACTTCCAGAAACAAAAGCCATTTCACAAGTTCAACTTCCATGCAAATGAGAAAACATTTTGGTCCGTTATGTTGGAATGAATGAATGAATGATAAATGAATGGATGAATTGGACGGATGAATTAATGATTGATGAATGGATGGATGGATGGATGGATGGATGATTGATGAATCAATGGCTGGCTGGCTGGCTGGCTGGCTGGCTGAATGGATGTAGAGCTGAACTGTCCATATTTTCTAATCACATGGACTAGCTCTGGACAGAGAACCCAAATGCTATTGATGCTGGTTCTCCTTCTTGGAATTATGAAGAAATAGCAACACACAAGCTTTAGTCTGACATAGTCCTCAACATTCATTTATCGATGGAATGTTTTCTTTTACACAAATCTCTTTATGAGATTGCCTACATGTGATACAGACAATCCTCCACTTACAACCATTCATTTAGCAACCACTCGAAGTTACACGGCACTGAAAAAAAATTACTTATGATTGGTCCTTGCCCATCATCGTCACAGCATCTCCTCATCATCTGATCAAAATTCAGACACTTGGCAATTGGCATATATTTATGAGAATTGCAGTATCCCAGGGTTACATATTGCCATTTGTGACCTTCCTAGCTGACTTCCATCAAGCAAAGCCAGTGAGACAAATTGGATTCACTTTAAGGACCACATGACTCATCTAATAACCATGGCAAAAAGGTGGTAAGATTGGGCATGACTCAACAATTGCCTGGCTTAGCAATGGAAATTCTGCTCCCAACCATGATTGAAAGTCAGCTGCCTGGGTCAGCTTTTTCAAAAGCATACACAAAACATAATAAATGTGAAAGTTTGCACTAACAAGTTTACATTGTTAATGTTTCAGTTACAAATTATTTGTTTGCTGAGTAACATTTTATGTTCCAGCAGTTAAAATCCAGAATCATAGACACCACATTTATATCTTCCACTGAATCACTGAATAATTTTCTGACTTATTTGGAAAATGTGGAACTGAAAATCAAATTCAGAAATAATTGGACCACACACAGCTGCCAGATTAAAAAACTATTTGACAATAACACCAATGAAGAATAGGATATTAAAGTTAAATTCAACTTGAAGTCAGCTTTGAGTCCATTCAGGTTAACTACTCTGGAACTTTCTTGAGGATCTAGGAAAGCAAAAGAATCTCTGGAGAAATCCAAAGCAAATGAAGAAAGATTCATGGTAGAGATATAGTTGACCTACATAGCTAAAAGCAACCTTTGGCAGCATTTCTAAATAAGCACGAGATTGGAAACTTAAATTAAAATGATCTAATGGAATGAAAACCTGAATTCGGCCTCACAATTCTAAAACAATGACACCTGACAATTGAGAACTAGGACTTTGGGAGAGTCGTTTATGATGGCCTTCTTCAATCAATCTAGTCCAATCTTCTCCACCCACTATCCAAATATTTGGGCTTCAACTCTCAGAATTTCCAGTCAGCATAAAGTCTGCGGAGACAACTAAGATGTTACATCCACATATCTGGAACATGCCAGGTGGAGAGGGCAGAACACCTTCAGAACTTTTGACAGCTGCTTTATGATTTACTCATTTATCGTCTCAAAATAGCCAGGAAGCCCATGAGCAGAAGCTGCCAGAGGTTCTTATCTGCATGGCAGCCTTCCGGATAGGCCTTCTAGGCCACAACCTTGCTGCTTATATTAAAGCTATAAGAGATAGAAGATAACAAATGTGAAGGCCATGGTAGTTCCTTTGCTTTCTCAGCTTAAGGCTTTGCTCATTGCCCAGAGCTACCCTGAATTCTGAGGTTTTACCCTGAATTCACTCCCCATACAGTACGAGAAAGAGCAACTAGTACTTACTATAGATAAGCCATAGGGATAAAACACAACAGACTTGTTTCTCTACTTGCCTTCTATAAGTGGACCGGGGATGGGAACATCACAAGAATGAGGGAGCACAGAATACACTTTGCTAAGCTCTGGTTCTAAGTAATTCAAGGAATACCTGGATAACTTTCCAGTTCTCGAAGTTTGGACTCATTAATATCTGTAGCAATAACTTGAGCTCCTTCTTTTGCAAAAGCCTTTAAAAACAAAAATATGCATATATGTTCATTTTTACAAACTATATCCATACAGATAAAAGCAGCACATTATTTTTCTTGTGTTTTTAATAGCAGTTATGTTTATTTTAAATTGTTATTATCATGTTCTTTTGTGCATTACTCTAGGTTCCACTGGAAAAATGGCTAACAACCGACCACAATAACAATAGTATCACCATCAAAGATTACAGCAATTATATAGAATTATGCCTACAAAATTGGTTAGGAACTAATTTTTTTCCAGAGCTATTCTGGCAACTCTGAAACTGCTATTTCTGTGATATGTTCCGAAATACCAGAGCATCTTCACAGATAGTGAAAAGTTCTGAAACTGAAAAAAAAAAAAAAAAGCATGTCTTCTGCAAGCCATCCTATAAAGCAGGGGTCCCCAAACTTGGCAACTTTAAGACTTGTGGACTTCAACTCCCAGCATAGCTGGCTGGAGAATTTTGGGAATTGAAGTCCACAAGTCTTAAAGTTGCCAAGTTTGGGGACCTCTCCTGTAAACTAACAATCTACTTGATGTGAAAAATGAGAGTTTTCACATCAAATGAAAAGACTTATTATACTTTACCTTTTATATTCAGAAGACAAACCAAAATATACTGGCTGAAAAAAATCCACATGATATACTAAAATCAGGTTTGAGATATTTAACCCATGAAGTGGAAAGTATTTGCATATTTGTATGTGTCCCAGACCTGAAGCCCCAGATATGAGAAGGGTTCTATTTCCTGGTTGTGCTAACAACTGTTGAGTGTGACATCTTCCTTAACTACTGTGTATTTTAATCTTCGTATTTATGATGAGAATTGTTCCAGGATTACTTGTCACAGAAATTGAATATAAAAGGATACTGATGGTTTGCAAAAATTAGAAAAATGCACAAGAAAAAAAATATCTTACAATTTCTCTTCCTAATCACTATGTATCTAGTGGAGGGATAAAAAAGTGAAACTTGGAAATAGGAATGGAGTTTTCTGGAAGAAGCTATATCTGGTTAGCTAGCTCATAGATTTTTATTGCAAATCCCAGCTAAATATATGTTAAATATTGTTCCTTACATAATACTATTTACTTTAAAGATTCATGCAAGTCTCTTCCTTGACAGGGAAACGGAATATCTATAAATGGAACAAACCAAGATCATAATATTTTCCCCTGTGTAAGTAAGTTGATCTGTTTTTAAAATTAGGACTGGCTTTTATCTTGTATGATTTTCTATTATGATCGGGGTGGGGGGGCTGCTATGGGTTCGCCCAGGTTTGGGCAGACCCATTGCTAACATTATGGCTGGTTTGGTGAACTGCCAAATCCTACCCCTGGCTGGTCCCTCCCACCCCTCCCTACCCTCCCTACCCTCCTCTCCCAGGAGTCTCAACGTGGCCCTTTTGGATGTGAGGTAAGTGCAGGGCCCGTGTGGAGGCTCAGGGAGGGGGGAAAAATGGGCCTCCCAGAAGTTTGGAAACATGCCTGTTTCCGGTCTCCGGAGGGCCTCCAGAGCCCAGGGAGGTCTCCCAGAGACTCGAGGGAAGCCTCCGGACCCTGGGGAAGGTGAAAACGCCCTCCCGCACCACCACCATGGTGCAGGAGGCAGACTAGGCCACACCCAACCAGCAAATAGGCAGTGAACCCATTGCTGAAATTTTTGAAGCCCACCCTTGATTATGGTTCACTACAGTCAGCCAGAAGTTTTGACCGGTTTTTGAATTTTTATCCACCTATAGATCCTTCCCAAGGATCTGAGATAGGCAAATATTGGTGTTTTGTGGTGCTAGAGGTATCGCTGCAGGAAGTAAATTGTTCTGAGTAAAACTGCCTTTTGCAATTATTATTTGTTCAATTTCCATAGCAGTCCATTTCAGTAAATGACTCTGTATATACTCTAAAGCTGGACCTTAAAGTTTACTTTTAAGTTATGATTTTTTTAATGCCTACGGTAGCTTGAAATACCCAGCTCTTAAATAAAAGAACACAAACACATACACAATGCATTTATTTTCAGAGAGTGAACTTACTAATGTTACATCATTTGTAACACCTCTAGATGAAAATTACTTCTGGTGCCTATCTATGGACATGTGCACAGGTTTGTTTGTTTTTTCCTGTTTTTTTTCAATATGAAAGTGATTTGCCATTGCTTTCTTCTGAGGCCAATTTTTGAACTTGGATTCCAGCCAAGGATTTCCTTAGCCAGGGAAATCTGCCCAAGGATTTCCCCCATCCAAGTCTCCCATCAAAGAAGTAGCCATGCCTGATTCTGTTTAACCTTTTCAAGATCAGCCAAGGTTATGAAATGTTGGCAGCTGATTGTGATGAAACATCGGCAGCATGACTATTACTCTGATAATATTATACCCTTTCTCTTCAGGTTATTTTCACCACTTCCTCTAGTCTAGCACGTAGCCTTTAGCTTTCACACTTAAAGGGAAGGTCCTTTTGTACCTAAAATTTATAAAATCAATTGCATGATGATATTCAATAAATAATTCTGCACTTACTTTAGCCACCGCTTGGCCAATTCCTTGGGCTGCAGCAGAGAGTAATATCACCTTCCCCTCAAGCCGCCCCATTTTAGAAGCAGATCCAATCAATTTTGGGGCCTTATGAATTGGTGTTGATTACAGCTGAAAGGTAACATACGTTCATTATATTGCCATTTATATAGTAGCCCAATAGATTTCCATGCTTCTTTTGTACTTTTATGGTTATAAAGCTGATTTTAGAACTTAATTTACAGATTTATTAGAGGGATACTATGGTAAGACAACTTCCTCATTTAATAATCCAGATTTTTACAGATACAGATCACCAGAGTTGGAAGGGACCTTGTAGGTCATCTAGTCCAACCCCCCACCCAAGCGGGAGACCCTACACCATTTCTGACAAATGGCAGTCCAATCTCTTCTTGAAAGTCTCAACTGATGGCGCTCCCACAACTTCCGAGGGCAAGCTGTTCCATGGGTTGATTGTTCTCACTGTCAGAAAGTTTCTCCTTATTTCCAGGTTGAATCTCTCCTAGTTCAGTTTCCATCCATTATTCCTTGTCTGGCCTATAGGAGCTTTAGAAAATAGCTTGACCCCCTCCTCCCTGTGGCAGCCTCTCAAATATTGGAAGACCGCTATCATGTCTCCCCTAGTCCTTCTCTTTACTAGACTAGCCAAGCCCAGTTCCTGCAACCGTTCGTTGTATGTTTTAGCCTCCAGTCCCTTAATCATCCTGGTTGCTCTTCTCTGTACTATTTCTAGAGTCTCAACATCTTTTTTATAATGTGGTGACCAAAACTGGATGCGGTACTCTAGGTGTGGTCTTACTAAGGCTTTATAGAGTGGTATTAGTACTTCCCTTGATCTTGACTGTATCCCTCTGTTAATACAATTTAGGATTGCATTAGCTTTTTTGGCTGCTGCTGCACACTGCTTGCTCATATTTAGCTGGTTGTCCACTAAGACTCCAAGATCCCTCTCACAGTTACTGCTATTGAGCCTGGTTTCACCCAGTCTATATGTGCACTTTTGGTTTTTCTTGCCTATGTGTAGGACTTTACTTTTCTCTATATTGAATTTCATTTTATTAGATATGGCCCAGTGTTCTAGTCTGTCAAGATCCATCTGGATCTTGAGCCTATCTTCTTGGGTGTTAGCTATTCCTGCCAGCTTAGTATCATCTGCAAATTTGGTAAGTTCCCCTTCGATTCCCTCATCTAAGTCGTTAATGAAGATATTGAAGAGTACTGGGCCTAAGACGGAACTTTGTGGCACCCCACTGCTTACTTCCCTCCATGTAGACTTGGACCCATTAAGGACTATTCATTGAGTATGGTTTGCCAGCCAGTTGCAAGTCTATCTAGTGGTGGTGCTATCTATTCCACATTTTTCTAGCTTACTAAGAAGTAGGTTGTGGTCTACTTTATCGAATGCCTTGCTGAAATCTAAATATATTATGTCCACAGTATTTTGCTGGTCTACTAATTTAGTCACTGTGTTGAAGAATGAAATAAGATTGGTTTGGCATGATCTGTTTTTAACAAACCCGTGCTGACTGCTAGTTATTACTTTACTTGTTTCTAGATGTTGGCAGATCTGTTTTTTTATTATCTTTTCCAGTATCTTCCCGGGTATTGATGTTAGGCTGATTGGTCTATAGTTTCCTGGGTCTGTTTTTTTTCCCTTTTTTGAAGATGGGAACCACGTCAGCTCTTTTCCAGTCCTCTGGTAGTTCCCATTATCTGCACATTATTTGAATGTTTTGAGTCTGAGAATGGATTACTTAAGTATCTAATTGCATAGCCTATTTTTTTTTTTCATATGAAGCAGATCAGTCCACTCTTTAATTTATAGTTATCTCCAAAAAACCCCTTTATGCTCACTGATTTTAAATTTTGTATTTGGCAAGGAAGTTTAAAGGGGGATTTCTAACAAATAATTAACATGCTTGGCTGGTGAATTCTAGGAGTTGAAATCCATACAATTTAAAGTTCCTAAGTTTGAAAACATGCTCTGAAGGGTTTGTACTTGATCCGAGGCCTTGAAAAGGAACAAAAAAATTCAATCCCATTGAATTCCCTCAGAAAAAACACAGAAAATATATATATCAACCTTTTCTTTACCACAGACCCCCCTTTCAATTCCTTTTGTGGCCATGGACCATGGATCACTCCTCAGGGGTTCATAGACCACAGGTGGAGAACCACTTATGTACATTATACATACAGTAAATTGTGACCTTCAGCATTATGGTATGTTAGTCTTCCTGACCGTAAGCAATTTTTCAAAAAGTTGGGACAGTTATTGATCAAACAGTCAAAGGAGTGGTTATTCTTCAACTAAGAAAGGATGAGGATTTATTAGTTCAAAGAATAAGGCACCACAAGATAAACTGTTAATGAAATTATTATTTTTCATAATGAAGAAACATTTATTTCTCTGAAATTCTGTCTCTGGTTTTATAAAAACAAAGCCATTTATTATCCTGGAGAGGGAAGGGCTGAGCTTATTATGCCTTTGCTTCATATGACAAAAGTCATTCCTCTCTCAGTTTTGCTTTTGTTCCAGGTTCCTGTTATTTTGTAAATCCTGGCTGATTCAAGGCATTGAAAAACTTTAATGAATGAATGCTTATGAAATTTGAAAAATATTAACTTTCTCAAACGCTCGAGTTCACATTTCCCAGGACCAGTCAAAAAATGCAAACTAATGTGGCAACATTTTCTGAAACAATCTTCTCCAGTTTGATGTCCTCCACACTTCTCCTCTCATAAATCCTTAAAAGAATGATTGTAGGAATGGAAATCTGAGAGGACTGGGCTGAAGCAAGTTGAACAAAAAATAGTATTAAATTTTCATGCTAATTTTGATTAGTCAGGCTCCTGTAGCTTATAAATCAGCAGACACAGTAAATTGGATTGAATGGAGCAGAGTTTGGTGAACAAACTGTTAACCAAACTTTTAACACAGTGGGACAATATGTTGAGCAAACACAGCTATAAATTGCTTGAATTTTGCTTGCCCCTTTGAAAGATCATATGGGGATTTAAAATATCCACTAGTCTTTGATGACATGACACAAATCATTATGGAACTTAATCTTCTGGGATCTTTCTCACAAGACTGGAAACAAGGTTTCCAGCTGCTCTTCGGAGAAAACGCATATTTAGGCATAAGGAAGTACGGGTGGGTGGAGCGGTTTGCTTTGGCTTCCAATATCTTACATGACAAAGCCTAAAGCAATTAAAAAAATTTAAACTTCTTTTTGTCTCAGGAAGTACAACCTCCCCCCCCCCAAAAAAAACCTGCAGCCAAAATTACTCTCACACGCTTCTCATACAGTTTCTTAGCACTAAAAAAAATAAACATGACTGCAAAGAAGAAACTCACCCCAGGAATCCAATAAGGACTTTTACCAGGAGGCGGGCTTGTGTTTACTGAAGCATGGTGGGATTTGTAGTGCAATAGGTGGCAGATTATTTTAGGTTTCCCGCACTGCCATCTAGTGACATGCTGATTTCAAACTTATTTGGCTGCATCGAAGTTAATTGTTTGCGGAAAGCTATTGCTTAATGAAAGTAGGAAAGAAGTGGATAGCTTGAGAATGAACCTCACCCCTCATACAGAAATGAACTCAGATGCCAGTTTTAAGAATGTCATTCCCATTTTCTCCATCCAGCCTTTTTCAAACTGTTGTACTCAGGCTACAGTATGTTAGTTCCTAGGCAGCAAAAATCCTGCTAGGAATTCTTGACAGTTGAAAAAAAAAAAAAAAGGAGATACAGTGTATCACAGCATTGGCATGTCCCCATGTCACTGTAACAAAACACTTGCATAATATACCTATTTCCTTAAATGTAAACAATGTTTCCCCTCTTTTTTTGCATCAAGATTGCTATTCCTCCTGATTTTCACAATAGCAACTTTCCAGCAAACTTCTTGGTTTGCTAGATTTCCTTTACACATCCCTTAATCATTGCTCCCACTTGTTTTAATACAATATTTCTCAATCTGGCAACTTCAAGACATATGGACATCAACTCCTGGAATTCCCTGGCTGGGATTGCAGTATTGGAATACTTTTATTCCTTACCAAGCCTGTTTCTGAGCTGGGGTTAAAAAAACAACCACAACCAGCCAGCTGCATGAAATTGTTCTTTATTCATCATCCAAAAAGGATGACAGCAAACTGTTAGATGTGTGGCTGCAAAACCCCCTTCATCCAGCACAAGATGTTATGTACATTACAATCAGCCCCTCCTTTACAATATCACCTCTTTACCCATTCACCCGATTCCATTCTCACATCATCCTATATAAGGAACTTCCTCCCATGCAAGGCCTCATTAAATTTTCTGAGAATATATTTATCTAATGAAAAGCCATGTACAGCTTATCTAGCTTCCTTGGGTAACCTACTTTCAAGGCCTGCGAAGAGTGAGATGGCCAACTAATTTTAAAGAAAACAAAATGAGGCATGGTTTCTGAGCAGGGTGGATAAAAATTGATGATTTTTTTTAAAAAAATCAGATTTTTAAAACTTAAATTAAGATTTTTTAAAAATCAAATTTATTTTAATAAAATGCGTTTGGAATAAAAATCTATTTAAATATAGTTTTCTATTTAAGATACATTAATAATTTAGTTTATTCGGCATGAAATGGAGCTTAGTTATGTAGCATGAGGCTGCATATTCTGCAATATTGGGACTGTCGGTGAGTCAACAGGTCAGAGAAGGAGCTGCTGCTGCAGGACAGAGATGACAGTTGCTCTTTAAAAATTATGATTTACATCTAGTTGATTTAAATCAAGCCTTTTTACTAATGATTTAAATCATGATTTAAATCCTTGTTTCTGAGCCTTAATAAGAGTGTAAATGGTCAAATAGAATATTCTTTCTAAACTTCCTAACAGTAGTCTGATATACTACAGGTAGTTCTTGACTTATGGCCTCAATTAGGTGCGAACTTTTTGTTGCTAAGCAAGGCAGTTGTTAAATGAATCACGCCCAATTTAATGACATTTTTTGCTATGGTTAAATGAATCAGTAATCAAAACCCAGATAAGCAAGAATTAACACCAGGATTAACATCAGACCAACAATCAACAGTCAAGCAGTAAACAACCCCCAAACAAGAAACTACTTAGAAAACAACTCTCCAACATTGATAAAGCAAAACACTGTATATAAACAGAGCAAAACCCCAATTTTGGTACTGAAGGGGTTACCTAGATGAATAATGAAACATCCACAAGAAAACAACCAAGCTCAGCACTAAAGACTCCATTCTCCTAACCTATCTATCCAGTGAAATGTCTGCTTAGGGTCTTGAGTCTACTGTTCATATTATATCTTTGTACATATATACGTTGTTGTGGTTCGTCGGCACCCTGTGCAGATGGCAGTGGAATCGGACAGTGGGGAAGAACAGTGACCAGTTCAGGAGTCTGGGGAAGACTTGGATGAGGGTCCTGCGTCTGGTGGAGATGGGGCCAGGACCATCTGGGAGTTGTGCTGATTCCGGAGCCTCCAGTCTGGCATCAGCAAGGCAGAGGAACAAGGGGAGCCTGTTCCCAGTGTGTGTGCACACAACTGCTAGAAGGCAAAAGCAGCTAAGACAAAAGGGGTGACTTGGGAGTAAGGCTGGGAGGTGATTGCCCCTCTCATAAGGTATAAAGGAAGTGCAAAGGTAGAAAAACCTTTGCAGGAAGCAAAGTTGTTCGCTCTGTTCAGATTAAACTTTGAAGCTCTGTGTGGACTTTGTACTTTGTTTGTTTGTTAATTTAGCACTTAGTTATTGGCAGCAATTCAAAGGAGAGAAAGGTGGGTGCTTTTCTTGAGGGACTGATTGGGACTCATTACAGGCTGGGAATGAACATAATTCCCAGCGTTGAAATAAAACAAGAGTTGTTCTAACTAAGCCTGTGCTTAATTACGGTCTCAGGAAGCCTGGGTCAGAAGAGACATGTGTATCTGAGAGATGTTATTACCAACTGGGGAAATCTAATAACATTGACCTTACTTGGATTTGGGGAGAATTCTAGAGATCAAATAGAAAGTGTTTTAAATGAGATCTAGTTTGGTTTTGGGGAGAATTCTAGGGGTCAAATAGGAAGTATTAAATTGATAGACTTTATTTTATAAAAGAAAATAAACAAAACCTACTTATAATCAAACAAACTGAAAATTACACTGCTAACCACTAGGAAAATATAAATTTTATTTATACAATTAAAAATACAGGACAACATGAGTAAGGAATACATATGGTATTGTATAATAAGTATGTTGGAAAGTATGTTCAAGGACCATCAGTTTCATCTTGCCAGAAAAATGAAGTGGCATCTGTCTTGCACAGCATCTATGAAAGAATCTGTCACTGAGTCTTGCAATTGGAAACATCTGATGAAAGCCAGTTGTTAAAGTTATTTTCTTCAGATTCTCCTCTGCCAGATTCTGTGTCTGTTAGAAAGAATAGTTGCTGGTTAAGTTAATAAAAATAACTACAAATATTTAAGTAACACAATATAACCACAAGAGAATAGGTTGATTAGAGATGATAGAAGTTTGGAAATTTTCAATTTTTAAAACATCACACTATTAATTCTTATTAATTTGAGATTAATAGCCTTATTAGATCAGCAGATTATTTAAATAACGTAGTGGTACACTACTTCCTGGGTATGTAATTTACTAAATGGCAAGTTAAACTATGGCTCTCTTAGACCTACTATAGATTCATGTTGGGAGCACCAAAGTGCTTCTGTGTTGAATGGATTGAACGGTGACATCACTGTTGCCTGGGGGACACTCTGTTGGAGACTCCTGTTAAGTTTCCCACCAAAGTGTTACACACCCATCTACTCATGATCACCTGTTGCTTTCAAACTGCGGGGTCAGCAGTATGTGACAGGAACTCATCCCATCCCGCAGTAGCAACCGAGTCTCGAACGTGAGCCTGTCAATTGTCAGCACAGCGTCCTAACCACCATCTAAGTTGTACAGGATTGACAATCCAAGCTTACTTTGTGCAAGAATTGTCTTGTACTGTATATTTTTTCTATTGCTTCCAGTTACATGAGGTTATTATGTGGGTACATCAGTTATCCGGGTGAGAGATGCCAGGACAGGACATCCTCTAAACCTCATGAAAAACCCAGTACATTATTTCATGAAATCAGATGCTCTTAGCTACTTCTAGGGAGATTCTCAGTTGCCCCAAAGGTGTTTTTTTTAAGAGGCGACTGGACTTTCTGGTTTTTCTTTGAAGACGTTTCGCTTCTCATGCAAAAAGCTTCTTCAGCTCTGATTGGATGGTGGGGAACGGAAAGGATCCCCACCATCCAGTCAGAGCTGAAGAAGCTTCTGGAGAAGCGAAACGTCTTCAAAGAAAAACCAAAAAGTCCAGTCGCCTCTTGAAAAAAGCACCTTTGGGACATCTTGGCTATTTCATGCAGTGTATAATCAATAACTATCCTACGATTTTCTGAATTATTTTTCCTACTGGTCATTACATTTTGTAGGATTTGGCAATCCATAGAAAAAGCAAATGGGTCAGAAACCCATCCTTTCAAAACAAGCTGGTAAACGCAGCAGTTTTTTGTGTGATCACAACACACAACCTTACTCTAAAATAGGCTCTTTGTCTTAGCATCTAAGAATGCGTTATGCTCTTACTTACTTTCAGTAATCCCTAAGCACGAGTTACCAAAAAAAACTGATTGGCTGTTCGATGGCATCGGCTGTGGTGTGTCCAAAGGCAAAATTGGCTGCATGGAGCACTGCTTGCAGGGAGAGGCTGGCACTGCCAAAAGTGATGAAGCTGGTGCTTTCCTTGGAGATTTGATTTTATGCTCCTCAACTGTGTCTCCCAAGGCTCGCTCCCTCCTCTTCACAGCTCGCTCCTTCCATTTCTTAACTTCTTCTTTCAAGAGATGCTCATTTCTTAAAACATACATTAGATATATTTAATCAACTGGTGTCCAGATAATATATATTTTTTCTTATTCTGTACAGCCCATTCGTTTTCTTTTTCTAAGAAATGGCTTTTTGCAAGACTTGCCTGCTTGTCCTTTTATTATCCATGCATTCAAGATTTAACACAGGATGAGCAATCTGTGAGCTCCCAAAACCCTTTTTTGTGAACTTTGATGCATAATTGTTAAAAATTGGTAATTTCCCACCATTTGGATCTAGAAAAATATAGGTACAGGTAGTCCTTGACCATAGCTGAGCCCAAAGTTTCTGATGCTAAGCGGGAATGTTGTTAAGTGAATTTTGCCCCATTTCACGACCTTTCTTACCACAGTTGTTAACTGAATCACTGCAGTTGTTAAGTTAGTAACGTGGTTGTGAAGTGAATCTGGCTTCCCCACTGACTTTGCTAGTTAGAAGATTGCAAAGGGGGATCGCATGACCTCTGGGAACACTGCAACCGTCAAAAATATCTGTCAGTTGCGAAGCGTGGTGAATTTTGATCATGTGACCACGGGGCTGTTGAAGAGTCATAAGTATGAAAAATGCTAAATCACTTTTTTCAGTGCTGTCATAACTTTGAATGGTCTCTACATGAACTGTTGTAAGTCGAGGATTACCTGTAGCCCTTGACATGTGACCAGTTGAACCCAAAATTTCCACTACTAAGCAAGACAATTGATGGAGATTCTCAGACATCCAGGTCATGGTTGTCCCAAAGGTGTTTTTTTTCCTTCCCCCAAAAGGCAACTGAACTTTCTTTTTTTGAAGACGTTTCACTTCTCATCCAAGAAACTTCTTCAGCTCTCAGCTCAGCTCAGAGTTGAAGAAGTGTTGTGGCCCGCCAGCAGACAGCAGAGCTGGCAGCAGATTTGGACAGTGAGGAGGTTGGGGTGGAGCATGGCCCACTCCTGGAGTCTGGGGAAGGCTCTGACGAGTGCTCTGCATCGGAGGCAGAGATGGGGCCAGGACCGCCTGACAGCTGCCTTCGGAATCGGAGATCAGTGGGGCAGAAGAACAGCCAACACTTCATTTGCATCCCCAAAATCCCAAAAGTCTGATAAGACTAGGAAGCAAGCCAAAGCTAACCATTGGCCCCACAATTTTGCCAGGCCAATATCTTCAAATGTGTGGACAGCTTAATTGTCTTTTAGACACAACTACCTGTTCTGTGTGAAAAATTCATACATGTACGATCATGGTAAGCTATATTTCCAGGCAGAATATGATAACTTACGTCAACAGTAGGTCGTGTTGTTTCTTGAGTTGAGTGTATTCCTTTTGCAGCGTGGCATGCTTAGATTTTAACACTAGCACATGGGTACTTTGTATAATGCCACTACCACCACCACAAGTAATTGGTTTAAATGGCTGAGGAGGGTCTTCGTTAAACATCACTGAAAAGGTAAAGATCCATCACGGTAAGGCTTTTGCCAATGACAACTTTTACTATCCAAACATCACAACTTTTTCAAAATCACCTCATTTCATGACATGGTATAATTTGGAACCACACATTCAAGAGACTATGGTTCGATTTGGGAATTTTATCACAGGATTTGAGGTTTCCGGCTTTTATGATTGTAAATGATTGAGGTGATTAAAAGGAGCCAGCACTGATAGAAATGTATGTACATAAATATATTCAAGTAGGACCTTGCCAAAATAGGCCTGAAACTATTTTTTAGCAGTTGGAAAACATGAAAGAATGTGCTTGAAAGATGAAAGTATTTTCCTTGCTTGACTATCAATTTTGTAACACTGTACCTTAAAAGCCCATTTCACATAGCCAAGAGATAACCCTCTGATTTGTATTTACCGGTTGCATCCTGTTCTTGTCGTGCTTTACGAAGTTCTTCCTTCAACTTTCTTAACTGTTCTTCCCGATGATCTGCCAGAGCTTTTGCATTTGCCATTCTAGAACAGTGAAGATTCAGTTTTAAAATTATCAATGATGTTAGACTACAATTATACAATTACAATAGTCTACAATGATTGTGAATGGAGGACACAGAACAATTTGGGACTATGGATTATTTTTGAAGCATCGTAGCACAATACTTCTCTTAAATTGTTCCCCCACACTTGAATAGGTAAGCTCTAAGCTCTTGATCCCCAACACATGGTCTGCAAAGGTCCTCTACTTAGTGGCTCAGGTTCAGAAATTAAAACTTTTAAAATGGCTGAGATCTTATGAAATTTAGAAAGTTCTAACTTGGAATTTCAGATGAGTAGACCAAAATCTTGAAAAATATAGGCATTAATAAAAAAAAACACACCTTGAAGTCCTAGAAGCCATCTCAAGGGATCTCTCCAGGGAGCAAAGAGATATTAGATTAATGCTCCATGCCTTAAGTCTAAATGTGGAGTCTATTGCTCTATAGCAGGGGTGTGTCAAACTGGTGGCCTGTGGGCCGGATGCACCATGCATGGGGTTAGGGTCATCCCAATTCCACGAAGGGGAAAAACGCCGTGATATGTCACGTGATGGCAACGTGGCGCCACGAGTTTGACATCTGTGCTCTACAGAATTGCCTTTTCAAGGAAATGGAACTTACTCTCGATCAAACAATTTGGATTGTTTCATTCTTGCCATTTCAGCTTTAACAAGCTGAGTTCTCAGGCCTTCAATTTCCTCCTTATATAATCCAACACCTTTATCCACCTGGGCCTAGTAAGAAAAAGAAAAACATGATCTCGTGAGAAACAACAACAGTTGTATATTTCCAAGTGCCCAATAAGCACTTTAGAAAATGAAATCATATTTACATATTAGATAACAGACTTTTAGTAAAAATGAAATACATACCTCTTCAGATCAAAGTAATAATGTCAGGACCCTTTTCAGATGGAGGTTTGGATCCAGCAAGAGATCAGAGTTAGCACCCTGTCAAATCACAGTTGGTGCCATATCTGATCTGCAGGAAATTGTCCTTCCATGGTTTCATTCCACAAATAACTGAATTGCATTAAAAATACTAGAGAATACCAGAGAATGGGCCAAAGTTGTAGAGCACTTTCATTTTCTTTGAGGAGGAGTATGTTTAGCCACAAGCAAGGCTGGGAGGAAGCATAGCATTGTGAGCTGATAATTCCTTTGTATAAACTTGCCTTCCAGTGTCCAGCAGCCCAGAACATTGCATAAGTTTTATATAGGAATTGCAGAGAGAAAATGTGAAGATCTAAGACATTTGTGTGAATCCCATGAATAAATATTTTACTCCCAACATGAGAAGTAACTTATGTTAATACATACAATACCTTGAGTGCTTCTCTCTCACTTAATGCATCTCTTAAGCAATTTTCTTTTTCCTCTAATGCAGCTTGAAGCTTAATGACTTCATTCTTGGAAGCTTTCACATTAAGTTTCATTTCTAGTATGGCTATTGTTTTCTCTTTTTCCTGGAGATTTTTACTTCCTTCATTTATTATGCTTTCTAGTTCTTGGATTTTCAACTGCAGATTCTTTGAAAAAGAAAGTGTGTTATTAGAAAATGGAACACCACTTCCACATTTTATTTTCAAAGGTGGAAAAAACGTTTAGCTGTTATTGGTGATAACTCTGATACATGTAGAGTTAATTGGATCTGAAGCTCTGAAGATCACAATAATTCCAATATTTTGAATGCTGGGCTCTTTATAAAAAAAAGTGTGGCCTGAAAACAGTGAAAACGATCAGAAAAACAAACCATTTCTACTAGAATAGTAAGAGATGCAGCATCAAAGGAAGATGAATATAAGCAAAACTAATTCCCAACAGTGTACTTCCTCATTTATAAAAGGTAACCCAGTGCCATTTCATGCATCTATTGGGAAAACACTCTTTATTTTTATATGGCAGAGATTACCCAATATCATATTTTCTGGAACCACAGATTTATAAGCATCATCCTATAGATTTATTTTAAATCAAAATGTCATGATTTGTCAAAGTCTGCCTCATTGATGAACTAATTTTTCTATCATCTGTTCTTTTCAACTAAAAAAGTTGGACAAAACTTATTCTCTCAGGAACCCTATTTAGGAACTAGAATGGATTTGGGAACATCATATATTTGGGAAAGCAGAGACTAAATAGAAATTTAATAAATGGCATACCAGGAAAAGCTGCATAGAAAAGAACTAAGCATTAATCAGATTAGACAAATGAAGAGACATCAGGCTGAGGTGTCAAACAGGAATTTAACAAAAACACACCTTTGTATCTTGTTCTGTTGCTTCCAGTTTATATCTTAGCTTATGGTTTTCTTCTTCTCGTGACGTATTAGCAACACCACAGGATTTTTGATCTTTTCCTAACATATCTAACTGTAGAATCAGTTCCTTTGTTTCTTCTCTACATGCTTTCAGAGTAGCATCAATCTCTCTGCAGTAGTTGGCATTTATGGCTTCCAGAGCAGATCTAGCTTGAAAATAGGGCTGTAATATAAAGGCAGCAATAGATCTTAAGGGAGGTATGTTACATTGCTATCTCTTACATAGAGTCATCCAATTACACCAGAACACAGTTTCTGCAAACTAGATTAACATGTCCAATAATCCAAGTTGCTTTGGATTATTAAACTATAAGAAACACACAACTACGGACTTCTGGTTTGAAGGGCTTTGGCAACAGACAGGAATCCGCGATCGTGCGCAGTTTCTGCCTGGGCTTGCCGCTGGAGCGCCCCGAGCTGGCTGGTTTCGGGGCTAAGCCACCCCGTAGAGGTGGTGAAGAGGGGGGAGACCGCCAGCAGGGTTGAGGAGAGCCGCATCTCTCCTCCTCAGCTGGCCATTACTCCCTTTCCCGAAGGCGGTAGGAGCGGTGGTCAGAAATGGCCACCTCAAAGAAGACCTCAACCGGAAAAGAATGTGCAGGAGGAAGATAAGAAGTGAAAGTTTTGGCTGACTGGGCTAAGTTGAAAAAGCAACAACTAAGGTACCCTGGAATTTAAATTTTACAAGAAATAACATCGCTCCCAAAGAAGAGTCGGAAACAGCGAAAGAAAGTGAAAAGGGAAAGGTTTGGCTTTTTTTTCCTTCTCTCTCCTTCCTTATATTGACAACTAAGAATAAGAAATTGGAAAAATCCGCTTTGGCATCAATAGGCAATTAAGCTGAAAATATAGCTAAATGCCAAAGGGACAATAAAGATTTCTGGATATTAAAAACTTTTTCTTCTATAAGCAGGAAGGGAGAGAAAAAGAATAAGGGCAGGATCTGGAAGAGGGAGAAGACTGCCTGGAATTAAAAAGAATCTACAGTAAAACTTCAACAAGACTTCTAAAAGATACATTTTAACTGAAACTTTGCAACTAAATAGTAACCCCAGGAAGAGAAAGTGAAAACAAAAAGAAAGAGCAAAAAGAAACAGTTTGCGTGTATTTGGATTACTTGGTGACTTTTGGATTTTTGGTTATTATATTTGAATGACTAAAATCAATTGGGTGGTTGTTTAAAAATTTCTACAATGGCATCACTTTTGGATGAATTGAAAATGGAACTTAAAAAGTACAAAGAAGATGCACAAGAAGGGAAGGGTTCTTTTGGCTTCGTTTTTCAATTCTTAGAAATGGAGATTTGGAACTATGAGAAACAACAAGAAAAGACTGCAAAACAAGAAGACTGGGACAAGGAAGAAGCCATTTTTAATGAACAAGTAACTCTATGTGGGGAAGAAAAAGGAAAGGGGGGAAAGAGGATGGAGAATTTAAGACTTAAAAAAACAACCAAAGAAAAGAAAAATAATTCGAAAAATAAGTATAATACTGGAAAGCAACAGAAAAGGGGAATACAGAAGAGGGAAATAGAGGTAGAGAGACAAAAGAGTAAAAACGGGAGAGAGAAAAAGAGAGGGAAGAAGGAAAGGAAAAGAAGTTACAAAGGTCCGGAGCAAGATATAAAGAAACAGGACCTATTTAGAGATAATGGGTGAAAATCTAACTGAAAAAGGGATTCTGTAAAGGTACATAAGATTGTATTGTTATATTAGTAATAGAAATAACTTTAGAAAATTGGAAACAACATATGATTAGAATGAGGGATAAAATAGTTAGTGTAATTTAGTGAAATGTTTGTGAATAAAGTAAATAAAATAAAATAAATGAGAAAATTGAATTAGGAAGGAATGGAAACATTTTAATTAGTCAATGTTTTATAAAATATAAGTGAAAGGGGGGGGGAATTAACTATGGAAAGTTTATAATTGTTCCCATAGAAGTATGATATTTAATTGAAAAGTAACGTGAAAAATGTTAAGACTTTAATGAATATTAATATTAATGATAGAATTGAATTGGAATGGAATGTTGTTTTAATTATATACATTTATAATTTTGTCATTTTTTTTTTCAAGAATACTGTGTATAGTTTAAGAATGTACCAAGCAGAATCCGAATGGAAGTTTTGTATTATATTAAGTGTTATAACTTTAGGGGAAAGATATAAAGGCGTCATACTCCAATCAGTAACTACAGGAGAAATTTTGTTTAATGAGAAAAGATAATAGACAATTGAAACAGGACAGACAAAAAATATAAATATAATGATTTGAACTGAGATGAAATAAATAAAATAAAATTGAGGAAATTAAAAGAGGGGAGAAGCCATGTAGAAAATGTAAAATAGTAATAAGATATGGAATAGAATATAAAAATGAGCATGAACCTGAATTTGCGTCTGTACGAAGAAATGTAACCCGGGATTATGCTGCTTTCAAAAAAGATGTTTTAATTTTATTTCTTTTCTTTTTGTGAAAACTCAAATAAAATTTACAAAAAAAAAAGAAAAAAAAGAAAAAAAAGAAAGAAACACGCAACTACATGTACAGCATTATCTCCAAGCGCACCCGTAACAAGGCAAAAACAATAATATTGTGCTACACCTTTTAAATCTGCATTTCGTACCTGAGCTTTGGGCCGTAGAAATTGAATAATGGACTGAAACTTTTCAATATTTTGCTTTATTGTTGCCTCAAAGCCTTGCAAATCAACATATGAGCACCGTTCCAAATACTGTTCCACCTCAATGTTCTTATGTTCCAACTCTTGTAACATAACCTCTGTGCCACCGAGTTCTTCTTCCATTTCAGAAACTTCTTTAGACATTTGCTGCGCCAAGAAATACATAAAAATGATCTGGTTTGTCAAGACATGTATCATGACTTATTTTTTGCAGCACGGTAACTGGGAAGAGAATTTATGCAGAAACCTTTTAACACAGATACAGTATTAACCCTTCTAGCTCAATTAACCACACTGAAAAGAAACGTTTAAGCTGATTTATCTTCCCACCTGTCCACAGAGCCATCATAGTGGGAATAAAATACCAATAGATACATTATTTTCTTCTTGCAAGTTTTAATTGGACATGCCAAGGGCCGATTTTGAAAAATGCTGTACCTTAAATTACAGCCTTTAGGAAAAATGCTTAACTCTGGTTTAGTATTCCTTCTTCTGTGCCATCTTGAATATAATTGACAAAGTAACCCCCCCGAAGTATGTAAATATTTATTTTTGACAAACTTTTTATATGATGGTTTCATTTACATTTTTTTTAAATTCTTCTCTCAGAAACTGCCCTGAGCTCTCTTGGAAAGAAAAGCAGTATTGACAGCATCTATTATTACATCGAGATAAAAACACAAAGGTGCTTTATTTCAAGAGGCAATTGAACTTTCTGGTTTTTCTTTGAATATGTTTTGCAAGAACTTCTTCAGCTCTTGAAAAAGCACCCATGGGACAATCATGACCTGGAGGACTAAGAATCTCCATAGACATCAAGATAAAAAGTTTTAACTTGTTAATAACCTGTCCTCCATGAAGCATAGGTATTTTCCCTTTTGAATCCAGATGCGAAAGGTAACAGAAAAAAAAGCCAGTGGCTCTCTAGTCCTTCACTGACTTCTGAAAGACCTTGGCTTTTCAATGGCATTGTACAATATCATTGTGGATCAGAGGCAGAACCTTTGCGGCATCAGCCTTAGTAGCCTATTGACTTCTGGAACACAAGTCTCCAGGAAATGGCTCTAAAGACTGACCTTAACTCGGAGCCGTGGTGGCGCAGTAGTTAGAGTTCAGTACTGCAGGCTACTTCTGCTGCCTGCAATTTGGCAGTTTGAATCACACCAGGCTCAAGGTTGACTCAGCCTTCTATCCTTCCGAGGTCGGTATAAAATGAGGAGCCAAATTGTTGGGGGAAATATGCTGACTCTGTAAACTACTGAGAGAGGGCTGTAAAGCATTATAAAGTGGTATATAAGTCTAAGTGCTATTGCTTTTGCTATTAACTCATCATCTCAGCAGAGATTAGACTAACCCCCACTTTGACCGTTTCACAAGGCTCTGAAGACCTTGGCTTTGCCAATGGACCTGGGGAATCTGGAGTGGGATAGATCTCATCAAGTGGCTTCTTTAAATGATTGCTGTTGCCAGGGAGCTGCAGGGTTATTGCTTTTATTGTTGTATAACCAACAAATGTACATTTTCTAATTAAATAGTTGTTTTTTTAAAAAAAATCAGCAAATGATGGAAATCATTATCACAGCCCACAACACAGGATGACAAATATTTCAGGTTCTGTTATGCAATGGTCAAGATGCTTCCATATCCAAATGTTGTGGGAGTGTGTGAAATTTTCCAAATGCATATTATTTTGGCCATTTCATTCTTCTGAACTGTAGTTTAGTTGAGGGAGGGGGTTTGGAAATGGTGCTTGGAGACGTAGCAATGTCCTGGCAATGTTGCTTTCCCCAACTCCAGTCCCAAGCAGGCAATCTTTGGAAAACCATTACCTCAGTGAGGCCATCCAAGCTCTGCATCAGTTCAGAGAGACCAGACTGCTGCGATCCAGGTCCCTGCTGTTTCAAGTGAGGCTTTCCGAGTTCCTGAATTTGCATTCTCTGTGCATGTTGATTTTTTCGCTCATCAAGCAGCTCCCTTGTGTACTGGCTGACATTTGTGTAGTATTCCTTTCTTTTGTTGCACACGCAGCTAAACAAGTACTGTTGGAGATGAAGAAGTTAATTAAGAGCTGTGGTGGTATAGTGATTAAACTGCAGTATTACAGGCTGACTCTGCCCATAGGCAGGAATTCGATCCTGGAACTCCTGAACGGATCAAGGTTGACTCAGCCTTCCATCCTTCCGAGGTGGGTAAAATGAGGACCCAGATTGTTGGAGGCAATATGCTGATTCTGTAAACTGCTTAGAGAGGGGCTGAAAAGAACTATGAAGTAGTATACAAGTTTAAGTGCTATTGCTATTACTAACCGAACATAAGAGCTCAAAAACTAGTTGAGTTTAGTAATTTATCTTGGGATAAGCTGCACACCATTTTAGCTTTACTCCGTAACTAAACTTAAACTTTACAATAAGTTTGTTCAGCTTTCAAAGGTACCACAAAACCTGTCTTCTTTAATGTGGGCTACCACCCCTATTAAAAACTGCAACAGCCTGTTTTTTTCCCCACTTATTGAATCATACGTTGCCCGTCGTTGAACAGAGTTTGTAGTGTTTTGTTCCTGAGGTGCAGAACTGGCTGTTCCTAAGATACCACTTAGACTACAAACAACAGAATTGTGGACTGGATCAACTTTCCCAACCTGGGTGCCCTTCGGATATATAGACATTGTCTCAAATTCTCAACAAAGGGTTGCTGGCTAGGGAATTCTGGGAAGGTTGAGCTAGATAGACCTCTGCTCTGATACAAGAGAGATCTTCCTTAAAACCTGAACATATTTACATTTAGTGACTGTTAAAAGTTGTTAATATATTTATGGCCACTGCAGCATTCCCATGGTCTTGTGATCAAAATTAAGATCCTTGGTAACTAGCTCATATTTATGATGGTTACAGAGTCCAGGGGTCATGTAATCACCTTTTACGGCCTTCTGACAAGCAAAGTCAATGGAGAAGCCAGATTCACTTAACAACTGTGATACTAACTTAACAACCGTGGTGATTCACTGACTATGGCAGGAAAGGTCGTAATATGGGACAAAACTCATTTAACAACTGTCTTGCTTAGCAACAGAAATGTTGGGCATAATTGTGGTTGCAAGTTGAGGATTACCTGTAATGTAAAGTGTACGAAAGAACTAATAGAAACTAACAGATTCACACGTGACTTTAATCTAGGAATTTATTTAACTTAATTTACTGATCAAGCCATAACTGAGTTTGCAAGTTCCACTAAGCCATGAATCATAGTTTAAACCGAAAGGATAGATTTAGATACAGGTAGTCCTTGACTTATCACCGGTCGCTTAGTGACCAAAGTTACCACAGACAAAACCCAATGGTACTTACAACCTTGTTGTGAAGTTCTGACAGCCGTGGCCACCCCGCAGTCATTTCCTGTGTTGTGTGGTCACATGACTGGGTTTATCACATTTTATGCTGAAAACTAGCATTAACTTCTGGGTTTTGCCCAAACCCGGAAGTTAATGCTAGTTTTCCCAATTTGTGGTCATTAATGAACAATGGGTTCACTTAATGACTACAGGTTCACTTAATGGCAAACTGCCTAAAATGTTGTAAAATTGGGTCACTTGTGTGATCACCTGTTCTATGGCAGTCACAACTTATGACCTGAATGGGCAGACTCCATTACAATTATAAGTCATGGCCCACCTGTACATACAAAACTAAAACTAAACAAAGCACTCAATAGTTTAGCACAGAGGTCTCCAAACTTGGCAACTTTAAGACTTGTGGACTTCAACTCCCAGAATTCTGGGAGTTGAAGTCCACAAGTCTTAAAGTTACCAAGTTTGGGACCCCTGGTTTAGCATGTGATACGAAACATTGTTTAAAGCTAGTACCTGAAGTTTGTTCAACAAGTTGTAGAGGATGTTACTTATACGCTCATCTTCTGTTTGAAGCCTTTTTATGTTATTGGCTTCCTGAGGAGAAATGTCAGGAAGCCACTTGGCTATTACAGCTTTCTTGCTATTAAACTGATTCTTGATCTGAAGAGAGATTTTTATGAAATATTCAGATCTTTTTTCCAGCTCTGGAAATTTCTTCAGAGACTCCTGAAATAAAAAGGAAACAGGCTGAAATTAACAAAGGTTTTCATCTTTTAAAACCAGTGGTTTTTCTCACAACCACTAAAGGCATAGATTGTGATCTTTTTGACTATGAAATTTTATTTTATTCCATAGCAGGAATAAAATAAAATTTCATAGTCAAAAAGATCACAATCTTGTGCTATTAAGAAACATGTCTTGATCAACCAGAGTGCATTTTTTGAATTGCATTCATGTGAACAAGCTACTGTACCCATTGTTGAACATTACATCTCCCCTTGCTCTAATCCTCCCCCTTAGCAGAATATACATTATATATTCATAGACAGCTGAGGAAAAGTAGCTGTGCAAGATATCTGCAGTGTGATTTTAAAAAATGACAATCTCAAAATGGCAGCCACAATACATGATCAACACTGTCCATCTTTTAAGTACAATATTCCAAAAAAGAAATGGAGTTTCAATCACACTGTTACTAGTGCCATTGTGAGGTGGTTGGTTTTTTTTTTTTTACCATAATCTGAAGACACCCCTGATACCAGCAGCACAAGAGAAGAGTTCTTGGAGTAGCAATTATTCTGAGGAAACCACTAGATTTACAATTCATCTTTCTATATCAAGACCTCCTGGATTGCAAAAGGATGTTCCTCTGTTTTCTGGTATAATATACAAGTTATAGATAGATTGGGTATAACTGGAAATGGAGTTCAGTCTTTGTTGTGAGAACAGGCAGAAGAAGGATAAAAGGTAGAAGTTAGAACTCCACTTAATGCAGATTCAATCAATGGAAAATAAATGGTGATAGCATTTACCATTATTCGGAATATTTTTGTCTCCAAGATTTCAAAGCAGTCTTGTGTCTTTCGTTTGACATTCATTTCAGAATCCTAGAGAGGAGAATATATATTCAGTGGTGACTTATTATCTCAATATGAGCAGATTATGTCCAACTAAATAGGATACTTAATAGAACTCTAAAAATGGAAAGACATTTTTGATTCCTGCAACGGACAAATGGTTGCAAAAAATGGATGGTGTTAGCAGGGATGGCTAAATTGAGTGCTTTGATTAAATAAATGAATACTTAATTTTGTTTCTATTTGGAAGCCACTTTTGGATTTTTGTGCTTGAAATGGAAAAAAATATGAAACTTCGATTTTGGGTTTTGCTGATTAGATAGGTTTGTTGTTATAGAAATGGCTAGTACGGTATATAAAGCTCAAGGCTTCCCTTCTCCAATCAGGTCTGATTCTAGAGGGCGGTGCTCATCTTTGTTTCTTAGCTGAGGAAGCCAACGTTGTATGAAGACACTTCCGTGGCCATGTGATCAGCATGATCATATGCTGAAGTACATAGAATGTGTTACTTTCCCATCAAAGTGGTACCTATTTATCTACTTGCATTTGCATGCTTTAGAACTGCTAGGTAGTCAGTTACAGGGGGCAATAACAGCAGCTCACCCTGTTGCATGGCGCTAGGTCTCAAACCTGGGCTATCAGCTTTCCAACTGACAAGCTCAGAGCCTTTAACTGCTGAGCCATCGCCCCTCCTGGCTAATATATATTATTATGTAAAAGTAAAAAGTTGAAGTTGCACGTTATTTTACTGTGCCAAAAGTAATTGGAAGTCAATGCTTTTCTATTTTTATCTCCCCTTTAATCCTACACATCTTCCCTCTTCCTTTTTTCCCTCTCCCATTTCCCCATTATTTTCATTTTTCTTTGTATTTCTGCATTTTATATTTTGATAAACTAAGAAAAATATGAATGAAAAAAGATCTTAGTCATACCCAGTTTGATTACTAGTTGGACAATAGTTAGACAACAGACAATATTTAAAGGTTTTGCAAGGTCACAGGGATCCCAGATTTATCTGCAAGTTTTTATAACATGCATTAATCTTTGGTAGGAAAAATAAGTAGGACAGAAAGACACATGTGAAAAGATAATGCTCAATTTCTTATTTTTGGCTGCCTAAAATAGGGATGCTGATTAAACAGACTTTACTTCCACATTAAAAAATGTGCTTAAAGAACAACTTTAAACAGAGATTGAAATAGGAAACAAGCTGGTCATTTTCAAGCTGGGTCTGCTTTGTCATAGTTGATGCTGTTTCCATTGTTATTTATTCCCTTAGTAAATATTGATTACATTTGTTGACTCAGTAACTACTTTCTGTATCTATCAACAAAGTGAATCTTAAATATAAACCAGGATCTAGAAGGACTAATTTAATTTATTTTAAATTGACACTGTTGAATCAAATGGATTTAAACACAAGTATTACATGTCTGATTTTTCTCCAACTTTTTCTCCAATTGATGAAACAGAGCTAGGCAAACTATAAATTTATACTTTATAGTTATATATAATTTCTGAACAAAATGCAGATGATACCCCACAGCACTCACCGATTGTACAACCGGAGAAAGGCTGAAGGAACAGCCTTGTTTTCTATCCTTTTTAATGTAAAATTTCAATAATGTAGGAATGTTCTCGTGCCAGAAAATCCAGTTAACTACCAGGTTAATACCTGATATCTGAACATCAATCCTCAGCTCATCCTAATAATGTTAAAGATTACCTAAAGGGTGCCCAACCTTGACATAAAGCATTCAACTCCCCTTAATTTAAGGGAGATTTAATATTTACAGGAAATTACAATGTGATGTTGGGTTGAAAGCTAGACCTACATCAATGGTTTTACGGAATAAGAAACAATATATCCATGAAACTGCATTTACCGGAAAGCATTTACCGGAAAACTGCATTATCCAAAAAGCATCCCGTACCTTTGCGGTGTTTTCAGATAAGGTCTCCTGAAGTTGGCTTTGAGTTTCCTCTCTGATGTTCTGCACAACCTGCTGAAGGTCATCGCTCTCTTTTTGAAGCAAGGCCTTCTCTT